CTCTCTCTCTCTCTCTCTCTCTCTCTCTCTCTCTCTCTCTCTCTCTCTCTCACCCACCCACCCACACACACACACTCACCTAAGCTCGCACAAGTACAGCCAAACCTGTGTAAGACGATCACCCATTGTCAAGGAGAAAAGTGGCCGTATAAGACAGGTTGCTGTCTTAGGCAGGACTGATCTAGAGGAAGAAAACAAACCATTCCCATCAGAGGTCTCAATCGAAAAGAGCCACATTGTTGTTGTTTTTGTTGTTGTTGTTGTTGTTATTTTTATTTTGTTGCTGATTTTGCGCTAGGGTGACAATAAAACGAACTGTCAGACAAGGAGGACCGAGTGCTATGGTAAAACAAACACATGGGTCGCCACCTCTCGGAGAACGAGCGACGCTTCTGTCACAAGTTCATGTTGACGTCCATTGTTGCTTTGTTACAGACTGGATAAACGGTGACCGCTCATCTCACTTACGATTTGCATATGAGTTCTGGGCGGGGCTTGTGGGTTATGGGGGATCACACGCTTCCCTCACCAGCAGCTCGAAATTGGTACCTATTGGTCAACAGTGGGAGGGGCCTACTAAACATGATCGGTTGGAGGGACTACCTAACAACAACGACAGGTGATTGAATCATGACGACTCGCCCACATCGCCAGGGGTCAATGCACAATTTATGACAAAACGTAATGGAGTCACTATGGTGGCCGTCTTAGACAGGTGTTATTGCTTGGTGTGATAGGGTTGTGTGTTAAAATATGGTGGCCGCGGCCCATTGGACAGGTGCCCGTTTTACACAGTTAAATTATATAGAAAAAACGCAAGGGGGGAAATGGAAAGTGGCCGTTTATACAGGTGACCGTCTTATAGAGGTGGCCATCAGGGCAGGTTAGACTGTAGCTGCACGAGATCAGAAATTTGACCACAGCACTCTACTGCATAGTGTAGTTGAGTTTAGCTTGAGTAAAGGAAAGCAGATATATATAATAACAACGACCAAGTAGTGTAGTGTTGGGAAAAAGCAAGTCATGTTGCCAGAACCAGTCTTGAAGTAGGAACTACCACCAGTGGCACCCTCCTACAACCCGCATCTCTCTGCTGTAGCTTTTGTTTTGGTAACTGTTTTACTGTGCTCTCAACTGCATAAGGCCGCACGAGCGCACGAGTGCACGGGACACATTAAACATTTTCTGTTTGATAGGGATTTAGAATTTTGCTCGGGTGGCGGCCGAATTCTACTTATATCGATTTTAGAATTATCAAAGGATCCTTAATGTTCTCAACTTGCACCTCCTAGAATTTTGGCTCTTATACAACGAAAAGGCAAGGTGTTAGATCATACCTTTCATAAGATCAGGAGTATGGCTGAAAGACAGCAGCAAGAAGGAGCCAAGGAGTAGCTGTAGAAAGGCAGCAGAAAAAGTCCGGAACCCACAGGAAGGGGTGGGTTGGTTGGGGG